GCACACACACACACACACACACACACACACACACACACACACACACACTCACACACACAATAAAAAACCATTCATATAAACAAGACAACAGTTCAACCACATATGGAAGAGCTTTCTCAGTCATGCATCAGTTATATACGCATTAGGACAGCAGTGAAAACAAGGCACTCCAACACGTGCTAACAACACATTACAACCAAGACTTAAACAGTTAAACAGGAAGTATTACATCTGTGGCCAGACGGGCAGGTGTGAAGTTTTGTTCGCTGCTTCGTTCCTCATTTATGTCCTTCGGATCCGTCTTTCATATTCTTTAGACAAGGGTGCAGTTCGAAACCCAAGACAGGTGTTCAGACATGTGTGTTGTCTGGGGAAGTTTTCAAGGATTTTATTCGTTTGGGCTGGTCCTATCGGAGAAGGACGTTAAAGTCGTACCTCCAGTGTATTTTAGTTGGGTTTTTTATAAAAAGAAGTAAAAGTTGTTCCTGCATCCGATCCGGACATAAGGGATTGCCTTGTTAGTGGGACAACTTCCTGATTCTTCGACATAGTATTGTGGTAGGGTGGCCAGTTCCTTTCCACGCCGCTTTTACTTCCCCAACTCGAAGTCAGGACCAGGTACTCATTAGTGCTTGTTGGGCAGGAGGGGGTGGAAAAAATCCGTGTCCGAACCGAGGCTCGAACCCGGATTTTCGATTTCGGAGACGAGCGCACTAACCACTCCGCCACCGCACCCTCTTCCTGTCTATTAGTTGTTCTAATTAGGATCTTTTTGTTGTTGTTTTGCTTTGTTTTTGTTTTATTTGTTTGTTGTTTTGTTCTGTTTTTGTTGTTGATGCTTTTCGCTTTTAGCGTAAAACTCATTCCATACCTGATATAGCGCCAAGCACCCTGCTTTACAAATGTGAGGCAGCGTGGTGGAATCAGGCTCTCGTCAAAATAATCAATGTGAAGAAACTTTCATTTTTCTGCAGGTTTGTGAATTTTTATCAAATGTTTGGGGGTTTTTTTTGGCTCAACGCCTTTCATGTCCATTGAAGAAGCCACTTCTGTGTGGATTTTTCTGAAAAACGTTGATTAAAGGCACAAAAATGAAAATTTTCAGGTACCACGGACTCTTAAGCTAATGAAATTACTAGTCTTTGGCGGTCATTTTCTCACTAATTTTACCTCTGAAATCAGGTGACCCCCACCTCCTTCATTCGCAAATATCTCGACTCATATTCAAGTTAAATGGATATTCTTTTCATCCAAATAAAGAACAAGCTTTAAGATAATACCAATAACTCTACATGACCAAAAATTGACAAGAGCCTGATTCCACAACGCTGCCTCACAAATTACTATTTTCTGAATAGCGTTACGTACTAGGAGTATGTGGTGTAATCAAGGAGTTTGGAACTAATGGAGCCTCCTCTCTCTCTCTTCGCGGCGCCGCGAGCAGTACGCCGCGTTGGGGGTGAAATATGGCCACCGACTGTGGGCTAAATCACGAACTGTGGCGTTTCTTTTTATAGAATCTTTTTATTACTTTTAATCTTCTTGGGTGTAACAGATAGACGGTCTGCTTTTGCACGCAGGAAACCCCGAATTCGATTCCCGAGAGGGAAAAAACTGTGTCTTGTACTTAAGTCTTTCTTCTGGAATATTGTATCGCACTTAGGAAGGGTTGGCCCTGAAAGGTAGAGGGGAGGCCCGCCTCCAAAATGATCTAAATTTTAATTGTGTCGGTTGGGTATATAGAAACATTTACATGCTAAAATAGTATGGAGTAAGTACCATTCAAAATAAAATTATGTAAAGCAAGTTTCATTATCAACTTTTTAAAGACAAAGTGCTCGTGAAAGAAACCCATAATGTAACGAAATCCTTTTTTTTTATTTGCCGGTCTGTGAGATCAGAGACGTCTTCTGCGAATTCAGCAAATCCAGCTTAAGTCAAGAAGTCTTGGCACAGAACTTTGCGGGCTCCAAAATGTCGGCCAGTTATCAAAATTTTATGATTTGCTGTACTTTTGATGTATCTCTTGTTTGGTGTAATAGCAAAGGTGACTTTCTGATAGAAAATTTATTAGACGTGCTGACAAAATGAGTTACTTCTCACAATCCACAAATGGAGATATTGGCCAAAAATCGACACTTGGGTCAAATTTGTAGATTTTCACTCGATGCAATATTCTTAAAGTATAACAAGCCCTTAATTTTTTTCATACTTATAAATTGTAAAAAAACGTCACCAATAAGCAGGATGTGTCTATTTCCAATGGGCTCGAATCAGAGAAGTAACTCATTTTGGCAGCACGCTTCACATTTATGTTATTAATATGCTTTAGCCTACTGTTTACAGATAGAGGGATTGATCTACTGAGGGCGTAAAATGGGAGAGGGGGGGGGGATAAAAACCGCTTTTTAAAAACAAAATTGGTACAGAAGAAAGGAATGGGAAGTCTTTGAAAGTAGAAGTATGAAAATCCTGATTTAATTAGTGTGTGATCGGAAATACAGCAACAAAAACTAATGCTGAAACGAGTTGGTAAAATCTTTATAGTGAAGAGCTAGGGCTGAAACATACGGGCGATTTTGGTTCGCTATTCATTCATTAAAGTTGTTTGTTGTTTTTTTAAAGCAACTACAGCTACAGGTTTACGATTTTTGTTTAATTGTACGTTGTTTAGACGGTTGTTTATTTTTCTGTTTTTATCTTTTATTTGGGGAAAAGGGGGAGAGAAGGGGGCGGGGCCAGCTATATTTTTTCTATTTTGTTTTTGGTTGGGGGGGGGGGGTTCAGTGTTCCTGTATCTTTGGGGAGTGTGGTGGGGTTAAAGAACACATTGTTCGTTCTGTGTGAGCTGACGCCTCTGGCTTTGCTGTGGTTTATTTTAAATTAACTGAGTTTTAGCTGAAATTATTGCTGTTGTTCTTAATTATATAAACTACTCTCTTTAAAACACAGATCTATTATATTTTAGGTGGCCAGGTTTAAAAAAAAACAGAAATGGGAAAAACATCATAACGGTGAAGGTGCAGAATTCTCTCTCTCTCTCTCTCTCTCACACACACACACACACACACACACACACACACACACACACACACAAACACACAAACACACTGAGAGAGAGAGAGAGAGAGAGAGAGAGAGAGAGAGAGAGAGAGAGAGAGAGAGAGAGAGAGAGAAACACACACACACAAGCACAAATCCACACTATCATAATTCCCCTCGTAACGAAACCACACTTCCACAAACCCAACCTGTGACCCCTAACCTTTAGCCTTGCACTAGTATACACATCTGTTCCTCCTTGTTGTGTCTCTACAGCTATCTCCTCCCACTCTCATTCGATCTGTCATTCATTCCATCTTCCGTCCTTGGGAACGTCAAATCGCTGCTCACGCACGCTCGAGACGAATTCATCAGACCGAAACAATCTCAACCTCTTCCTGGTTGTGAATAACCGTGACAGATCTAATTAGATTGTTTTCGTGCACCTTCGTTCCCTCCAGCGCACCACTGAGCACTTTTTCTAGTGCGCTCGTGACTTTGAAAACCTGAGTTCAAGATATGCGCACTGTGCACCAGCACTAAAATTATGGGTTTCAACATTAGCCTTTTTATTTTGTCGAGGCAAGCGTAATACGGGGGGCCCACTACGGCTGGATTGGCCCGATCGCTCGACTCGATCGCCTGAAACTGAAAACAAACAAGTTTGTTTTTGAGGCGATCGAGTCGGGCGATCGGCCCCGATCGTCCAATCCCATTCGTAGTGGGCACCCCGTATTTGTCGACCATCACAAATTATGAAGAAATAACGACTTACACGTCGTAGGATAAAGGCCCTTATGGGTTTCAATATAGTTAATATGTTGAAGCAAGCGTTAGTCGACCATCACAGATTACGAAGACATAACGATACACATGACGTGGGATAAAGGCCCTTATACCTGTAAGGGGTAGTGACTGTTTTCTCGTTTAATTTTGTAGAGACTGCGGTTCGGATCTGACTGTGAGACTTATAAGGCTACGTGTCAGGGGCGGAGGTTGTGAGATTGTGTAAGGAAGCTTGCGAGTATATGATTTTGTTCTGTACATGTGATGGTTTGAGGAGGAATAAAGGAATGAAAGATGAAGTTAGGGGATTAGGGGGAGGGAGAAAATGGTATGTTGGGTGGGGAAAAGGGGAGAGTGCAGTGGGTGTAATGTGGCGACGGTGGCCTAATGGTTAGGCTCTCGGACTCGCAACCGTAAGGTCGTGGGTTCGAATCCCGTCAGGGGCCCGACGTTGTGTCCTTGCGAAAGGCACTTTGCTCAAATTTTCTTCACT